TGTGCTCTTGAGAAGTGAGATGGGAGAGAGAGAGACAGATGGCCATTTTGACTTAGCAAAGGAGACAACTTGTGAGAGGACAAAAAAAACCAGTAATGATTCTGAACGGTTTCCAAATTGCACATTATTAAATGCAGAGAAAATTCTGCTGTAGCTTAATGACATCTATTATACTGCACCGGTATGTTATATTAAAAAAAGCCTTTCCTTTTAACTCCTATACACCAAAGAAAGAAAGAATAAAGGAAAATGTCCTTCTTCAGCCCTGATATCCTGTTAGGAAATGAGAACTGTTGCAAGCGAAAGGAGGTCATTTGGTCTATCTCCCTCACTCTTTAGCTAATTGATCTCAGGATCTAGTCCAGTCGTTTCTTAAAAGTACGTCTGCGCAGCTTGTTCCATACTCCCGCAGCCCTTTGGGTAAAGAAGTAAATACGTACCCCTTGTGTGTCCTCTGGTTTATGTTCCACCTATTCCAAAGAAGTCCACTGGGCTGACCTTCCCAGTGCCTTTGATGAAAGACTTGAATCAGGTCCCCTCGTAGCCTCATCTGTGCGAGAGTGAAAGAGTTCAGTTCTTTCAGCCTGTCAGCGCAGGAGATCGAATGGGGAAGTGTTAGGCCAAATTGGGGTCTGTACAGGGGTCTCGATCTTCTGCCAAAGCCTAACGACGAAGCAGGCAACGCCAGTGTGTGTCTAATGGCTGTAGTAGTAAGTGTCCTATCTCAGCCCCCAGCCAGCAGCGATGCAGCCTCAGGTCTGGCGTGTAGGACATTTCTCGTAACGAAAATAGATTCCGGGAGCAGGGCCATTTTGTTTCTTGCTAGGTAGCTTGTTAGGTAACCTTCACCTCTTTCCACCTCTCCTGAATGATCATGATCCATGTAGCAGATCGGTTACTTCAGGACGGTCTGGGAGAAGTGTAACCGATTTAGGAGGTTTTAAAACTAGAGGGAAAGCCTTTAATGGGTTTAAAGTTTGATGTATTTGGTTTTATATGGATATTCTTTGTAACTAGTATGCTATTATAATTAGCTTTTATTAGGCCTAAAGTTAGTATCAGTGATTTTCCATGGGTCAATACAGGAATAAATCCCCAGTAATTAGAAGCTGTATCAGATTTAGTTGTTGGCATGGTTAAGTGGGTGTTACCACTGCCAGATTACAGCTCTTGGGTTCTGGGTTAAACTCCAGACCGGGAACGCGTCTGTGTGGAGTCTGCATGTTCTCAATGGTTGCTGGGGTTTCCTCGGACTGCTGTAGTTTCCTGCCCCCTTCCTGCTGAGTGGGTTAATTAGTGTGTGTACTGTACATTGACGGAATGTGTCCTCTCCAGGCGTATTCCCACCCTCAGCCCAGCTCTTCGGCGGTTAACTCCAAGGTGCCGCTGCCCTCTCCCGGAATAAATGATATTCCGATCGGGGATGGATTCATTATCGTGTTCCATCAGTACAATGTTCAAATGCGGAGGTACCCTTTCTCACACGGCGCAGCCAGTCCAGAATTGCCTGATAACCACACAGGAAAGGACACAAACGAGAGGCCATTCGGCCCCTCTGGCCCATGTGGGAGTTAACTGATCCAAGGACCTCATCCAGCAGGCTTAGAGAGTGCATTTCTGTTCTGGTTTCGAAAAGCACCTCCACATAGCCTCCACCTGCATCCCCTGGTTCACGCTTCTCGGTTTATCCCACTACTTTAGGTTTATCCCTTCCTTGCAGGATATTGAATCAGGTTCCCCTCCATAGCTATCTGTTGGGGACTGAAAGGGTTCAATTCCTCGGCCCATCGGTGGAGGACATTCTCTTAACTCCCCGAATGTGTCTGGTTACTCTTCTCTGGATTGATTCCAGTGCAGCAATATCTTTTTCATGACCAAGAGTGTATGCACAATTTCTGAATGAGTCCCAAAGAGTGCTCTACATAGTGCATTAACATAACAGCCCCTGATTTGCATTCTACACTTTTGACTATTTAGCTCTAACAAGACAAAAACATTGCTTTTTTTGGTCCTGTCGTTAAGGAGCTGTGCCTGCAAGCCTGGCTTCCTCGTGTGGCTGGGGCTTCAGATCAGGGGTATGTTCCTCATCTCCTAGCACCAGCATGCTCTGCTCTGCAGCCAGCTTGTCTGGACAAGGGAGTCTTTAATGGAATCAATAGGGTGAAGTCTTGGGAGATTTATGGCAGCCATCCTGCGAGTCAGGGAGAGGAGAGCAAAAAGGAAAATCAAATTAATTAAATTTACAAGCAGATTGTCACTGGAGAGAGACTGATTCACTCCCTCATTTTTCAGGGTAGCTTTTATCTCAGAACTGGGCAGCCTGAGCATGTTGGAGGCTGGGGGAGGGGGGTCAGTCCGTGTCTGTGTATTAATCACCACGCTGCTAGCTCTTCAACAGGTCAAACAGATATGGGAGTTTTATTCCACCTTATGTTTTTTTAGGATCGGATTTGTTTCTGTGCAAGAATCATACAGCCTGTCCTGCTTCTGTGTTTTTTTCTGTGTGTGGTTCCCCTCCTTTTCGAAAATAGAGCCTCTTAGCTCTTTTTCGAAAGCAAGGCTGTATGAAGCAGCCCTGGGTAACAGACCGGACACGTTGGGACCGAATCATTCATGTCTGGTTTATTTTCCAAGTCAGATGTTTTAGTTTGTTTTAGTTTTCTGTTAGGCGCAGTAGATGCGGAGGAGAAATTGCTTCACAAATATTCTCACATTTGGTCCACAGCCTGCTGTGAGCAAGATAATTCACTTCGAATTGTTTTTGATGTTAGGGGGGTTTCATTACCGTCGCTGCTATCATGAACTCCATTTCCTTCACTCGTGTTTTCCTACACTGGCTTGTCACTGAAGGACACCTGAGTGGGAAGAGACGATGATGTTAATGACTCTTATTATTCAGCTCAGCTCTTTCTGTTTTGTCTGAGCTGGGGGGGCAGGAGGTGGCAGAAGAAAAAAATAAAATGAAATTGACAAAGCAAACAAAACAATAAAATATTTATTGCATCTTGCAGCTCAATAAAACCCATTTTTCCTCTGCAGTTCATACAAGACATATGGGGGCCTCCGATCTCCAGTAAGCAAAAAAAAATTAAAAGCCACACACACAAAAAAAAAGAAGCAAATAAAGAAAGTGGAATGTTCTTTTTTAAACAGAAAGAAATCTGCTTTACATTTGTGGAAGCAAAGAGGAGCTGTCTGTACCAAAAACAAACACGTAATATATATACGAAGATGTATATTTATGTATATATTCCGCCCAGCAGTGTGGAGTAGCGGTTCAGATGTGGACTCCTGAAGGGAGTTGGGATAGGCCACGCTGGTTTTCATTCCATCTCCACTCCTAAAGACCTAAATCAGCTCGTCACTGGCTTAGCGTGACCTGGGTGACGAATTCACCCAGCTGTTCAGGTGCTGTGTTTGGGAAATATTGTTATTTTGTGGCACACATGGAATTGCAATATGCAGTACTGACACTCTTATTATTGTATATTATAGTATTATGGTATAATGATATAAAAGCTGTAAGTATTGGATATTAGAAACACTAGTATAAGTGTTGAAATATTGTTCTGTTATCTCAATTGATTTGTCAGTAGTACAGTACATATCCTAAGTTAAAATACAGACAGCCAATAGGTCTGCACCGAAGGATTAGGTTGGTACGGTACATGATGGTACCCGCTGTTTAAAATTAGTTAACTGTTTAGAACCTGAGAATAAATCAAGGAATAACCTTGTTTCAGGTACAGTGAAGGCAACATTTGTACCTGAAAGAAAGGTATTAGGCACCTCTGTGTTTGTGTATTGAACTCCAGTTGTCTGAGATATGACGTGATGCACAGCATTTCTGCCCGTTTTAAGTTTGATAGATTTGCAGCGTGATAAACACGCTAAAATATAGGATCTACTTAAGGCCAGGATGTACCATAAAATAAGAAAAGTGGGAAAAAAAGAATCCAGATTTTTACTGTGTATAAATTCCAAACCTATTCATATTTTCTCCCTTGATTCCCTCCCAAAAAGGCACCCTGTATTTTTTGAAGAGAAACAGGATCTTAATCAATGTCATTTTATAATCGCTCTGAGAGGAAATCGTTACCAATATTACGGCCAATCCATAGTGACAGTAGCTTCAACAGAGCTTTACTGTTTGGACTCCTGCCTGTTACTTTTGCACCCACGTTCGCTGCAGCAAGGTCAGAGGTTAACCCAATCAGTGTTCCTCTCTGTAGCATGTTAGTGGCATGACTGGGAGAGATACCGCGGTTACCGTACAGGCATCCCACATCCCATTTGTTTTCCTCTTCTCCTAATTGCATTCCAGCTTTCAAAATTACGTTTGCCGGCGAGGATCCACAAACAAACAAGTTTAATAAAGTTAAGCAAAAACCATCGCGACATGTCAGAAATAATTCTGCTCATATTAGAAGGGTAAGAAAGAGCAGTGATATTGTAAGCCAGCAATGCACAGAGCTCTGCCACTTTCTGCAAGCTTAGCATATAGGCCCTTTTTTTTTGCAGAGGGTTGGAGAAAAAAATGTTACTGTTTCAGCGTTTTAAAGGATAGTTCTACAGATCTGCCTGAGCAAATTAAATGACAGAGATCTTCCATTTTTCTCTTCTGTCTATAAAGACGTTTTATTTAATGCAACTTATAATGCTACGTATATAATATGATGTTGATTTTCTCTAGGAGCATGACGTGGCCTTGTGTATTATGCAAGGCCTGAAGTATATGGTCAGGGACACTGTGCAACACATCCGTGTCTTATTCTCAAAAACTTTCTCAAACCTTTGTAAGTTTTTTTGGACTCGCACGATAATGTTCTCAAATAATTAAAGAGTTCAGATCATACCTGTCCTGAGGTTGGTGAAGATCTCCGTGATTTAGCCAAGTGCTCAGGGGGAACCAATGCATGGTATGGAATAGTGGACCAGGTGAAGTCCGTACGAGTTCTTGTTCGCTAACAGCTCGTCTCTTTCTTTTCTGTGTTCAACAGGGACCTGAGCGAAAACCAGATCCAAGCTGTTCCCCGCAAAGCCTTCCGAGGAATCACCAACGTCAAGAACTTGTGAGTGTGGCAGCAGACGGCAGCGTGCCGCCTCGCGGAGCTGGGATAGCAGCCCAGTCTTCCTGTAGGGAGTGTAGTGGTTACAGCCGAGCGAGAGCTTCCACACAGCTCTGTGTTCCTAGGCCAAGAGAACGCATCACCCCCTTCCTACCGAACGGTGCGATGAGTTTTCTTAGCAGTTAAATGTCTTGAAAACAAAGGCGCTTGTAATTGATTTTAGGAAAAGTCCAACTCCACTGCAACCTACAGTAGTCACTGTAGTCAACTGTAGACTTTGACCAGACAGTGACTACAAATACTTGGGACAAAAAACTGAGATGGGATGGATGTTGTGACACCATTTATAAAAAAATGCTGACAGAGACTATTTTATTTTCTTAGGAAACTCAGCTAATTCAAGGTAGAACACTTTTCATTTATTGAAAGGGTGTTGGCATACTGTCTCACTTGTTGGTTTGGTAACATCGGTACCGCTAATCGTAATGGGTTGGGAAAATTAGCAAAAATAAGTAGCAAAAGAATTAGGGAAAATCAAACCAACTTAAATATCCTTTACAAACAAAAGGTTGTAAAAAAGCCCACAATCATTATGGACTGTGTGTCACACTCCCTCCATTGGGAATTTACACTTCTCCCATCTGGGAGACGCCTCTGTGCCCCCAGGTGTAACACTAACAGACTCAGGAATCTTTCATCCCCCTGCAATATCGCTCTCAAACCATGTTAAGTAACTGTCTTATCTCCTGTAACACTATTGCATAGTCGTCTTTGTTGGTAATGTTTATCTTCCTGTTTTTATTGTAGTATTGGACTGTGCCATAAAACAAATTTCCCCCAGAGGATAATAAAACTTGAATTGAAAATAAAAATGACCCACAGCTTGGGGAGAAATGTTAACTGAGTGTTTAACCCTTCACTAAACAGATACTGTTAAATTCTTACTGTCCTAAAGACAGCATGACTGTATGGCAGTTTTTAATTCAACCTAAAATGGTATCTGACATACAATAGGATTGCTTCCTCCATTAATGAATCAATATCATCAATTAAGCCTAGACTGTTATGGTTATTCCTTTTGGTTTCGGAGGAATTTTAAAAGTGGAAAATTACGTGGAGCCATTTGGTAGCTTCAAGCTGTGTACGTACAGTACTGTATGTTTATGTTTAAGTCGATGTCGTTTGATCAGAGGGCCTTAGTTGTTACCATAGCGTCAGTGGATGTCCTGTCATTGTGTTGATTGTGTTGTTGTGTCTGCTACATGTTTGGAACTGAACACTGAGGAGCAAGGAAGCCTGTAGTTTCTTCTTGAGAGCTGGAAGGCACAGGGTAGTAATTAGTGCAGAGTTAGTGTCTTGTGGTTGGAGCAAAATGACGCTGACGAAAACCTTCCAGCCCTCAGCGGAGAGGAAACTGTGAATCTCCTGTGGTGTGGTTTTTCGGCGGTACACTATATTTATTTTTGAAAAAAACAAAGGGAGGCTACTGCGCGTTCTGAAAGGAGACCCCCATCACCTAGTAGAGCTCTACACGTTGTAGACTACTATACATCAAGCAGCAATCAGGCTGTTCTGCATCCATGTCATTCTGAAGAGATGTGTGCAGCATCAAGGGTATGCCACACAGGGTAGGCAAATATGTATGACCCTGACTGGCTCGTGGGCCTCCCCTAATTGCTTATTATTAATTTCATAAGACCATGCCTTCTTTGGCATTTCACTAATTCCAAAGACTATACCTCCCGTGGAGGAGGGTATGACAAAGGACTTTTCATGTCTTCATCACAGGTCCTCTCGTGAGGTCTTTCTGGGGTTTTCGTTATCACTCATTGTTCATTATCGAAGTCTGCATTCACCGTCACCCAGAAAACACAGAAAAAACAAAAGGGCAGCATTTATTTGGCATTTCCATTTTCACGATTGCTCTTATGACTAGTGTTACTATATTTTCAGTTGAGTATTGGAGGCGGAGCTTCAGAGTTCAGTGTTTGTTGTGTATTCTCTATTGTTGTGGAACCACAATATTTCCTCGTTGCCGTGTTTGTTATCTGCTGGTTGTTCTGCCATGTTGTGTCGAGTTACAGACCCAGACTCAGCTGTGTTCCCAGTGGATTCTTGCCTGTCCATCAGGAGGCACTAAGGAGGAGTTAGTAGCGGTAATTGTAGAGCTGTAGCTACACTGCACTATTAGTGTAGCAGTTAATCTATCTCCTTTGTGCTTGTGTAATCATAATTGTAACCTTATCTGTGCGCTGTATCACAGCTTGGTTTGCACTGGTTTATATTGAAGTATGTTTTTAAAACTGTTAGCGGTGAGATTCACGTAAAACTAGTTTGCCAACCTTTTGTCGAATGTTTTGTCTACTTTCGTAAAGGTTTTTGCTCGCAGCGGAGTGGTAAGTGTAGTAAGTGAGCACAGCTGTTTTAACTCTGGTTTATTTTTAATGACTTCTGTGACCGCCTGCTTGACTTACTGCAAGGTGTTCCGTCACAGATGGACGTCTGAATATGACTGCAGTGGAACAGTCACCTTGCATGTGTGCTGAAGGGTTGCAAAACTAGGACAGGGAGGTCACCTATACTTCTCCTCTTAATAATAGTAATAGCAATATAGGTAGATTGCTAAAGTTGGGATTACAGTGCCCATCTGATGCCAGATTGGATTTGGAATCTGCTTCATATGCACTCGTCAGGATACGGCTTTACCACGCTGAAGAGCTCTGATAAGGGCCAAAAACCTGTCTGTAGTTGCCAGCCCTGGCTTAATATACACAAGACAGAGTCAGAAGTCTTTTTAGATGGTTGTGCTTTGTAGCGCTCGGCATTGGACATGGGTAAATAGATGTGCTGTAATGTTTCTTCTGGGCCATTAGCACAAAATCCTCCCGCTCGTAAAAACTGAAATGGTTCCAACCGTAGGAAGCCTTTTTTCCACCCCTTTGTGTAATAAACTTTCTGGATTGCCTAAAACCACCAGAATCACATTTCAGTAATATGGCCACGTCACGACAGCATTCGGGCGCAAGCTGCTTGATTATTTATTGGAATTAATGAGAGACTTGTTGATGAATTGATGTTAAATGGTTCATTAGCTCTCTTTGTAGTTAGGAATCAAGCATGGCAGGCCTTGTGTAAATCAGTTACATTCCTCCCAATCTTTGTGGTAACTTATCTGGCGTCATGACAGACAATTTTTTTTATTTAGAGACTCCTCTAGCCCTGGCTACAGTTTTTTTTACCCGGACAAGATATTTAAGGTTCTGCTTAAATCAGAAGGGTCACACTGTCGGTGGTGATGCTGTCATTTCCTAACACGTCAGAGGCTGAAATTCTACGCCTGTTGTACCTGATTGAATGTTGGATGGGACAGATATTCTGATGTCAACTGAGAATGACAAACACGAAAAAAGAAACATGATACATAAAATGGTTGGAACATTTCTTCTTATTTAGCGTTATACAATTAGAGAATGGCTCACGAACAATATTTTAATATTATTCATCCTGAGGTGTCCATTCCTGCTTTCATTTCGTTCAAAGGAACTACTTTGTAAAGTTCAATCAGTGTTAAGAGAACAGGGTCTTACTGTTGGACTACAACCTCACACAAACTCTTCTTCTTCTAAAAAAAAAAAAAGAAGAAGAAAACTATTCTGGAATTGAGGAGTGTGTGGCATGGCACAGGGCAGGGGCATAGTGACATTTGTAAACGAGTCCGGCTTCAGTGCCTGTGCTGGGGAGATGCTGTCATATGAAAGACGAGACACCCATCCCGGTCTTAAGACTATCAGTCAGGATTGTGTCATTCTCAAACCAGCCTGTCTGACCCCAGAGAGATGATCCCCTGACTGTTTGCATCTCCTCATTCATTCCGATAGGGCAATGTGTCTCCTCTGGGCTCTGAGTTAACAGCACTTTCTGTTGAAAGGCAAACAGGCCCTGTTAAAGAGCTGTTTTTTTTTTTTGTCTGTGCTGTAAAAGGTTTCTGAAACAAATGCCCATCACCATCTTGATACACTGACTGAATGAGAAACAGAAAGCCTGTTTTATCAGCCAGTAGTCGTTAGGTCCTTTCTCAATCGTCGGTCATTAGACGTTAGATAAACACAATCAAAAACGTCTCCCTGTCAAAACGCCTAACAACGTCTACAGTTTTCCTTTTGAAACAAATCAAAAAGACATTTTAGAGAGAACACAGGTGGTACTCTACTTTTTTTGAGTGGGAATTCAGCTCCTCATCATGCTGACAGAAACCCTGCAGGGTGAAATCCCTACAGAACCCAGCCATATGAAAATGAGCACCCCTCTGGACACCCATGGAATTGCCAATTTTCAGACGATATTCCCAGGACCGTGGTCTGACAATCGTCCGCCTTCGTGAGCATGACTTCCTGGGCTGTGCTCGCTGTTGTGTCACATCAGTTTGTTTAGCCAGGGTCCTGGCTCTGTTTAACTACAGAAAGAAGAATGGGTTTCCTTTGCGTGTTTGTGAAAAATCATCTACAAGACATTGCAGAATTGACTGTAGAGACCTTCCCAAATGTTGCTTTGGGTCCTAAAAGCAGGAAGGTGGTGCGTGAACAGATTCATGTTATTTCGCGCTGTAAGAGTGACCACAGAAACAAACAAAGCCACACGCGGCTGGGCTGTGCGCTGTCTTACCACCGCCGCAGCGGACGGCCCTTCAGAACTGATTCCTGGGACCAAGGAACGAGGCCGCGGGGAGACGGAGAAGCTGTTCTCCACCCCCTCCCCCCCAGCCCGATTAGAATAAGGGACCCTCCATCACAGCCCTGTGACACTGGCTTTAATTACTCCTCACAAATGGCACCACACTCCCCACTGGGCCGGGGTTAACATCACAGCCCTGACAGAGCTATGGCCCGGGAGCTTATTGATTTTGTCATTTGCTTCATTAGGCTTAATGTCCACCCCCCACCCCCCCCCACCAAGAGAAAGGCAGCAAACCTGCTGCTCCTTCCCCCCAAAGAGAAGGGGTTGGGAAGCCACACTCCACACCCTGCTCCCCCCAGTAAATTCCTGCACTGCATAGGGAAGCTCCGGGAGTCAGATTTGTCCCCCCAGGAGGACGATTATTGAGTGTCTGGTTAGAGTGGGGTTTGTCGAACCCTGCCTGGCTGAGGGCCGGCCCACCGGACAGCCGCACAGGTGGGCATGGGGAGGAGGAGGGGTGGTGTGAGAGTTAGGTCTGATACAGGATATACAGCTCTGAGAAACGGCAGGGCGAAGCAAGACGATCTGGAACAGCCGGAGGGAAACCCACTTGGTGGTCCTCCTCCCTCCCCCCCATCACTACAGTTTAATCGAGTCCTGTGTTTAAATATGCAGAATATTCCTAGGGTTGGGGTCCAGCATCCCAAAACACAGGTTTTAAACCCCAGCACCAGTTCAGTAAACAACATACAAAAACACACACTGTCAGGGCATCGCTGAACTCCAGCGTGCAGCCATCATTAACAAAGGAGACGTCAAATCAATATTCTTTCATCTTATTACATTACGAAGGTCAGTACTTCACTTATCATTAAATATTTGTTTCCTTCTAGGTATAGTACAGTTTACCCGAAAAGTGTGATTATGTACCCATTGCTGATAGTATTGGACTGTTATGCTTGGTATGTTTCTTTTAGGAGACTCTACATAGCAGTTAGTACACTAACTAAAGGGCCATCCTAAATGAGTCTTCAAAGATTCTTAATTTTTGAAATTTTCGTTCCATGCCTTAATGACTGTACATGTAGAGTCATTTACTATGTGCTGTGCCGAATGAAATTGCAGTAAATTGCATGCATTCTTAAAAAGAAATGTAAAGCTATACAGCCACACTGTTTTGTAGATAGGTTACTGGATTAATAGGTAAGGACCTGAAGTTTTGTTATGGTGGAGGTCCTTCATGAAAAAATGTAGGTTGCTTGTTAAAAAAAACTCTTATAACAGATCTTTGTGTTCCTCTTCACTTCTTTTGTGATTTCGATACAACAGGTGCACCACCGGTGTGGAATATGAACATTTGTTCCTGCATGTCCGTGTCAGGGCAGATTGAAGAGGTCTGTCTGGGCAGCACTGCTCTCTGTCTCCTGCTACCTGCCGAGTATGTCTGCTCTGTCCATCTTCTTGACTTCTTGTTGCTGCTGTACCTGTCTGGCAGGTACACAGGGGACTTCATTGTCTTGCCATTCTGAAAATCAAGGAATCTGTTTCAGGAATAGCGTGTCTGCTCAAGAGATCCCCAGCTTGTGAAAAGAGCTTTTCAGAAGACTGTAGTAGGGCTCAAGGGCTACGCTCCAGCGGCATCTGTGGGACCATCAGCACCTTCAGACCTCTGCATGAGGGTCACATCACATTTAATCAAAACACTTTAGAACAATTGCATTCATTACAATTAATCAATTAGGCCTTTATCAAGCAAATTAACCCTCTCCCTGAGGTATTCCGCTATTAGTGGTTACTTGGTGGAGACACGAAGCCTGCTGGACTGTACCTCACAAGCACCACATTAGGGCAGCTCTGACCTACTGTAAGTAATTAATTTGCATTTTTGCCGATATCCAAAGTGTTATGACAATCACAGCAGCTGTGGCAGCTGTACATCGTTAGTCCCCGTGATAGATGGTCTTTTTTTGCTTAATAGCTGTCAGTTCAAAGAAGCTGGAGCTGAGCATGTTCCCAAAGCGTGTCGCTCGAATGCCAGACCTGTAATAAAGGAAACGGGCCCGTAGCTTGGTGACGTGCTCAGGGGCATCAATCAGACTCCTGCCTTTCAGCCCGAGTCTTCCTCGTCGTCATGATCCCTGTGTGAGAAAGCTACTGTGCATTTCTCCGGGGGCTCGTAAAGCCGTCTGCTCCACAGCTCCCTATCCTCGCTCAGGCTGCAGCTTGTGTAAATTATCGCGCATCGGCGAGAGGTGCCGTCACTTTGTGCTTTACGAGCGCGTTGCTTGAGAAACACAGGTTGCCGCAGATGGCTTTTACAGCTTTTACTAATTCCACACTCCGTGCGTTTAGTGGCTCCTGTTATAAGCTAGACCAGTTAAGAGCGATTCTGGCACAGGTGCACCGTAGCTCCGCACCCGCTCTCCTCAAAGGTCGGGGTGGTAAATCATGGCGTGAGAGCTGTGAGCTGTAGGGACAGCGAGGTGAGGGAACAGGCTTCGAGAAACAGCACACATGCGGGAAAAGTACAGGGTGTGTGGGGGGTAAAACTGCACCATTACCATGCAAATCCAGCAGGGTCAGTGCAGTATCGGGATAATAATGAAAAAGCTCACCATCCCGTGAGGTCTGGTTCCCTTGACCTTATCAGCGGGTAGGAGGGGTGGGTGTGGGCGTGAGGGTAATTGACACAATTATTACTTTAAAATTCAAATCGATACCTATTGATTTGGAAGCGAAACAGAAACATAAATCAGAATATTTCCCCTGGTTTTAATTTCCTTTGTCTCTCCCCTGTGTCTGACTGTCATGTCCTTCAGAAACCCACTGAGGGAGCCAGATAAGATCTCGGAGATTTTAATCCCCAAAGTGGTTGTAAAAAAGGCTCTTGCTGCTTGCGATGCACTCTTGCAAATAACAGTGGAGTGCTCTGCGTCTGTAGGGCCTGTTCTGGATAGTCTCTTTGTTTCTCATTCTGTCTCTAATAGTTTTGCAGATGGGAGGCTGACAATGCAGGAGCATCATACTGCCAAAGGCGGTCAATGTGGGGATGATTAAAGGCATATATAATTACATTAGGAGAAATTTAATTAGAGGATTTTCATAGTCTGCCCCCTCTCACACACAGCCCCTCCCCACCGTCATCCTCATTCATCTTCACACGGAAAAAGGAACAAGTGTGCTGCAGGAAGACTCATCTACACGCGCTTCAGCGGCACCAAGCCAACTTCAGCCAAAGCCGTATGTTCAGTGGGAGCGCGTTCCCTCTGGCTCAGAACGGCAGGGAGCTACAGGCTCGGCTGCTCCCAGGGAGCCAAAGGCTCATGCGCCACTCTTGCTCAGAAACCTCCCGCGAAGCCAGAGGCGCGCGGGCGCTGGGAGCATGGACGTGGCACAGCAGGCCCCTTGAGTGTGTGCCCTCGCCCCGCCCAGCCCCTCCCAGTATGACTGTCATGGAAGGGAGGTAAAACACCTGGCCGTGGAGTTTCTCCCCGAATGTGAAACATCCGCCAGACAAGCACACAGGCCTGCTGTGCTAATATTGAGCCCTGAAAGTGAGATCATTGGACTTACAGCATTTCTTATGTTAAAAAAAACAGTACATTACTTAAACAGCTCCCCACTCCATAGGAAATTACTGCTCAGGCATACATCTCTTTCATCGCGCCTACCACGCAAACTGAGCAAAAATTCGCACTTCTTCCATCAGACACAGCAAAGTATCAAAGACAGGTGATCGATAGCTGTCTCAAGAAGAGCTTGTGCTCTCAGGAGTGAAACGCCACAAGTAAAGTGCACTCAGTCCTCATTTCTTGCAGCACATACAGAGTCAGCTATGCACAGAGTGATACATAACTCAAGAAATGCTGTTAATTAGGTGTTTTTCAAGTAAGCATTAGATGCTTTGTCCTAAAGGCTTTGTGTCTGCAAGTACAAAACATGTTGCGTCATTGGCCCTCAGAATAAAGAGATGACCCACGTTTGAATGAAGGGACAGTCACTGTTGTACTCAGAAACAAACCAAAGCCCTTCAGCTGAGAATGTAGTGGACTTGTTTTTCTTTATCCAAGAAAGCCGAGACCCTCCCTTGTCTCTTCCAGTTCTCTTAAGATTGAGCAAATTCTGGGTTTCAAAGTACGGACGTGCTTTAAACCTCAAACCAGAAGTGAGCCTGTGCTTATTTCTTCCAGATCGGTTGTGGAAAGTAAGGGGGTTTATAGAACCTGTGGATCAGTTAGCTCTAGATGATACTGGGCACGTCCAGAAGGTTTTGTCTCTCTTGAAGGTTTCTCTCTTATTCACGCAGAGATTTATTGTTAAGTTCAGCTCCTGAACTAGGAATTACCCCAGCTTCTGGGGCAACAGAAAATGACGCTGCCACCCTTCTTCGACAATATAAGCTGAGGCACACTTACAGTAGTGAGTTTTATCACAGCAGAGCATTAAGTTTTGAAAACCCTGTGTGTAGCAGTGATGTGTCATCCCTGTCTGACAAGGGCAGTCTGTTGTCAGAAAATGTTCTGTTTTTGGCTGTTCTGAAAAGGTCTACAGCTGTCGGTTGGCCTCTCTGGGGGGATGCACTTATCCTGGCTGGTTTCTCTCTCGCCAGAAGCAAAGCACCAAAATCCAGTTTCCGTAAAGGGCACCAAGTCGCAGAGCCCTCAGTATAAACGAATTAGCCGACCATCCAAATGCTCTGCTTTTCTTTTTTTGTCTCGTCCGATGCGCGTTTCCTTTTCTTCTGGGGAGGGGGGTTGTAGGGGACACGTAGGTCTGCAGAGTAAAGTAAAAGGGAGAGAAGGAAACACGGGCACTTTGAGTCTGAGAGGGCAGCTCGGTGACCTCCAGTGATTTACAGGCCCTCTTCTTTAATGAAATTGTTTCAGTGACAGAGCCCAGTAAAAGCTCGTAATGGATTGGGTGCTCTAATGTAATGAAATTACTCCCTTTCTGCCTTTAAAAAAAAACACGAAGGAGAGAGAGAGAAAGGGAGAGAAAATGCAATTAATATTTACAGAGAGCTGACAGCCAGGGCGGGCTGTGCACTAGCCAGCCTCCTGTTCGCTTCTCCCTCTCTCCCTCCCTCTCTCCTGCTCCCTCTCTCTCTCTTCCTCACACGGACCGGGAGCAGAGGAAGGCCGCACAGTGCCAGCCGGGATCTCCCCTGGCCGCGGTCGGCAGCCTGCGACGCGCCGTCCCCCTGCCACCGCCCCCCGGTCGCTGCCGGCCCCAGCGCTGACTCCTGTCTCTCCTCCACAGGCAGCTGGACAGCAACCACATCAGCTGCATCGAAGATGGAGCCTTCCGAGCCCTGCGGGACCTGGAGATCCTGTGAGTGGAACCCCTCCAGGGGGCTTGCTCTGAGTTACTGCGCTTTCTGTTGGCTTGAATCCCTCTTTCTCACCTTCCTTGTTGGTTTTTCCGTAATTTCAGTTTTTATTTTCCCTCCTTGAAAAAAAAAAACCTGACACTAGAACAAAGGAGAGCGCACCTTTCCGGACAGAGTTTTAGGCGCTTCGTGTCGCGTCACTGTTTTTTGCTCCATGATGTGGGTTCTCTTCAGACTGTAATCGCTGCCTTTTCTAGTGTCACTGTTTTTTTTTTTTAAAAAAAAGGATACGAGATCTTAAGATTTGACCCTGTTGCTGTTTGTCGTTGCCACAATCATTATTCTTAGTTGAAAGTCGAGTAGGCTGTTTTGCAAGTTCCTTTCTCCTTCTGCTTTTGGGCGTGAGAGCACTGTAGTATCATTTTTAAACTTGCCTCAATTGGATGCGAGCCTCACTCTGCAGTGGCTGTGAGCCCCAGCAGGCTAGAGAGCAGAGCGCAGCTCTTCAGGGTGGGATAGTGTGGTCCTTGTGCAGGTTTTCCGTTCCCTTTTCTTCCATCATTGCCTGTCAGCAGTACACTTGCAGAGTACGTGCATCTGTCGCAGGACCGTGCTCCATCAAAGTGCAGGGAGTGTGGCAGGTCAGGGGGGGATAGGAAACACGTTGGTGGAGCACGGAGTCCTGTTATATTTGATCACTCTGTTGCCCTGTTGGCAGAGAAACATGAGACGGTCTGAGGAGGCTGTTAAAGAGACAGCTGGTACGTTGAGACAGAAGAACCTACACAGGACTGTGCTCTGATGCTGTAAACAGGTGGAGTCTGAGCTGAAACACACCAGACTCTCTGTCACCTTGCCTGCAATCTGCGTACTAACAGTATTACTCTGTAGCGCCGTCAACATGACTTTGCCTTTGGGCATCTCGAAAGACGCCTGTGTGTTTTCTGAATGGCGAGCTCTGAGCACCTTTACTACGACAATAAAGGCATCTTGATTTGGAGTGCACAGAGTGTCCGATGACTCGGGCAGCTCTGCCTCATTAACCTGGCCTAACAAGTACTGTATAAGTGAGGAAACAAACAGAAAAGCACAGCAGTTTGTCCGGACAAAGCATGTAGTTTTCAGCAGTGGGTCTCTTAAAAAGATGTAAAAAAAATAAATAAATACATTTGAATTAAGAATGAGTTCTGAATTCCACAGCCTTTTGACTTCACGTGAATCTTAGCTTTTTAACGCCACACACTTAACTCCAGGTGACACCCAGTCACGTTAAATAAAATTCTAGCACTTAACAGTGTGTAAAGGCTTTGAGTTTTTGTCCTGGGGAAGTAGGTAGTGCTGTGATTTATGAAGAGGATCTATAATGTTTTCAGGATGTTGTCTTGTCACGCACAGTAATGTTAACCCACATGTAGAACTGCCTCTTACACATATGCCTACATGACTATATAGGAGAAGGGGACATTCACCACATCTGGTAGGTGAGTGCGTCCAATTTCTGTTAAATTGACTATTAAAGCACCATTCAGAGGGACAAGATAGAATAAGAAAGCAATCTGTGGGATGCATGAAAGAAAAAATGTTTTGCTTAATGGAGAAGAACGTGTACATGGAATGGTGTCATCATTGCTTTAACAATAGTGTCAACAAGGCAGCTTAGCGTTTACCCAGAGGTTCATAACACATGTGTTTTGTTTGCTGGAAGAGCAAAAAGGGTAATCTTTTTTTTACTTCTGTATTGTAAGCATTGAGAATGCTTCACAGACTTAGTGAAGAAAACTGCTTGCCAGACAGTGCGTTTTGCCATTCTTGTGATGGATTGTGATTGTACTTCGACATAATAGCACTAATGATTGGACTAATGGCTTTAAAGCTATCTGTGACTTATTCGTGTGTTTTGCATATATCACTTGAGCAAGAAAAAGTGCTGTTGCAAGCATACAAAATTGAAAAAGCCTAATTTAAAAATTAATTCTTTCATCTTGCTCAAATGGTATGAACTGGGCAGTAAAGCCTTGAGAAATAATGTTGAGTTATGTTCTTTATCCCCGGACCTCACCCTGGGCATAGTGCAGTTAGTCCAGAAGCTGAGAGACCTCTGGGTATTTTAGAAATGTTTTTTGTAGAGAGAAATATTGGCTTGGGTTGCGATAGTGTCCTCAGCTGGGTCTTTTCCTCACCTCGTCTCATTTATTTTTGACAAAGGTGCGAAGAAATTTCCACAGCCTTCAAGGTGACTCTCTCTGTGTGTTTCCTGATGTAAAGACCCAATATGAAGAATTCCCTCCCTAGACGGCAGCTGTCAATGTGTTTGGCACTCAGTAATTAGAAGGAACAGACTTCAGCATTTATTTTCTTTATCTTTGTCCTGTTGAAATCACTCTGTTCGAATGGCACAGTTTTGTTTGCATATGTTTGATATGCCTTTGCTCTTCTGTTTTACCCTAAGTCCTGGCTTCCTGCATCGCAGAGTTCAAAGGTGTATTATTCAGCTGTGAACAGCTAGGATTTCCGTAACTCAAATTTGTGAACACATTGGCTGAAAAACCTCAATTCCCAATTTTTTTTGTATATTTTTACTTTAATCACCTGTGATTGTAGTAATCTTTGTTCCTGCAGTATTTCAGACTATTAAAAAGTGTTGGCAGCTTATGGTTTGTAGCAACTTAAAACAGTGACCAAAGCAGACCAAAACAGAGATAATTCAATACACTACTATCATCTTCTCTAAGGATCTAATCTGAGGATCTTTGTCAACTGTTAGACCCATAGAGCTCAGCAGCTGTCAGAGGAAAGTGCCCAGTTGGATCACAAAACAGCAAGAAGAGCACAGGAATGAGCACTCCAATCTCTGCATTACATTGAATAACATGACCTGCTTGCCAGTTATTCCATTATTCATGATGAAATCGAGGAAGAGAGCACAGGAGACAGTAAAGACACACTTCAATAAGGATATTCTCAAGCCAACTTCAAAGTTTGTTGGAAAGTGTCTGCAAATCAGCCTCTTCTCTTGTTCAGCTGTTATCAGCTGACCTCTCTTCCCCAGTGGGCTGTGGTGCTGGCGTCTGGCAAGAGTGAACGCTTTTTCCTGCAGGAGTAGGATTTTTGAGGTGGAGGGGGTAATGGGGGTTTCCCTTTGGTCTTAATCAAAGAGAATATCTTGATTGATCCTCTGGAAGTAGAAAACTTTCCCCCAGTACAGCTCTGAGTGTTTTCTGTAAAAAGGCAAGTGTCTACAGCAGGTTTTGTTCAGCTTTCATCTCAGGCAATCCCCTTTAATGGTGCTTTTCAGGTGTGGTGACCCAGCTGTTCCCTTGCGCCCCCTAGTGTCCACACAGTGTGGAGAGAGATTTCTTACTACAGCTTCAGCCGCAGTCCTTTGCTTTAGGACTTTTTCTAGCCTTTCAGCCCAAAATCTAATTGAGTCTGTAGTTCCAAATGCAATGGTTCCTTATGTATCTTAAAAAAAACTCTTAGAAATATTCCACTGACTTCAAACAGCTTTTTTTGTCATTTCTTCACACTTTAAGAAGCTTATTTAAAATGAACCATGACCTTGAGCTGTTTATAAGTAAGCTGTACGACAACAGTAGCATTTTAATCTGAGTTCTTAAGCAATGAATGTAAATGGATTTTACATTCATTCATAGAATCAAAATTAATAGATTCATAGATCAAATTCATAGATCAAATGGATCCAATTGGATCAGATGGATCTATGAACTGGCTTCATCACTCTGCTCTCCTCCCCACTGAGAGCTGGTGTGTGGGGAGTGTTCTGGCGCACTATGGCTGCTGTCGCATCATCCAGGTGGGGCTGCACACTGGTGATGGTGGAGGGGATCCCCGTTGCCTGTAAAGCTCTTTGAGTGGAGTGTCCAGAAAGGCGCTATATAAGTATAAGCAATTATTATTATTATTATTTGTTTGGAATGTAAGGGGACATTTTTCAGCGTTTTGTGTATCGTAGCTTGGGTCTTGGAGAAGATGGAGAAGAGAATATGAGTGAGTGGACAGTTCCTTAGGTGTAGTGAAGCCAATCTAGCCATTCTTTCATTTGTTTTCCAGTCAGTTTTTAGTGTTGATGAACAGGGAGCCATGCGTTTCACTTTTGTAAGTTTTAAATAGTTGGCATGCAGGAGGTAGCATTTTTCAACCTGACTATCGTGTTCATAGTCCAACCTTACTAAGATAATACAAGAGCAAACTGTGTGACCTCTGTGAGTGTTACCCTTCATGCACTGCCACAATATTACAGACTGGTTGTGTGTCATGGGCTTCTGCGCATAAAATATGTTACTCTCCCTCTTAAATGTCTCTCTTAGACTAGATGAAAAAAGGTCTGTAATATGCGTTTGTTTCCATTTTGTGCCGAAACACACCGAAACACCTTTGTATTACAGCAGCGTTCAAGTCATGATTTATTTAAACCTACTGCTTTTTGCTACTTGCAAAATATTTACCACAGATCTTGGATCTCAATTCCATTTGGATTTAAAAAAAAAACACGTAAAAGACTCCTTGGCTAATATCAACCGTATCCCCCAAAAGAGCCTGACCTCCCTAAAAGGCCCCTGTTGTCGTGGAGATCTCCATGAAGATCCTAATCTGTTTGTGCACAGTAGGTGCATGATGGCATATGTACTGTATAGGAACAAGTAAAGGTGTATTCAATGCTGAAGAGAGAAGAAAGGAAACGCAATGTTTCGGCAGTGGAGCCTTCTTCAGGTGTGAGAAAGACAGGGAAATCAGAAGAGATTATATAGCTTGGGAGAACAAAAGCCGGGAGTGCAGAGGAGGTGGGAGCATATATATACTGTACATATGTGTCTGTGCATGTCCCTGTTTGCTTCCACTGGATTTTCGGAAGTTGGAATGAAACGCTCTGAGAAACGGATGATCACCGGGTGAGGCTGAAGGAAGCTGCATTGCATTCCTGCAGCTCCTGTGCACTGACCTCCGCTAATCAGGTATTCCATGCATTTTTAATTTCCGACAC